TGGAATGTTAACAAACAAACTCAGGGCGGTGTCTATTTGGGCGGGATGTCATTTTTTTAATGACATATTGTGTCAAATCTTGTCATAGATAATGCACATGTCAGATATGAAAGCCCTTTTGATTGATTTTGTCAATCAAAAATTATAAGGAAATGAACCTGATGACCCAGTATGGCAAAATAGCGAAGCTTCAACTTTTTTTGTCAAATCAAATATATATTGGTAGTTTCTTAAGAAAGGTCGTGCCAAAAGTATTACATATGTGAAGAATGAAAGCCCTTGCCCGAACCACCGTTCAAAAGTTATGGCCATGGTTAAAGTTTTTAAAAAGTAGGTCAAACTCCGAGGTCAAGGTTCTTTATGTTCAATGAAAGGTCTTGCCACACGTATTACTTATGTGAAGTATGAAAGCCCTTGCCCAACCCTTTCAAAAGTTATGGCCGATGTTAAAGTTTTTAATAAGTAGGTCAAACTCCAAGGTCAAAGAGTCAAAGCTGTTGGTATCTAATAAAAGGTCTCCTCACAAGGATTACATATGTGAAGTATGAAAGCCATAGTCCTTACCGTTCAAAAGTTATGGCCAAGGTTAAAGTTTTTTCATAAGTACGGAAATCTCAAACGTCAAGGTCTAAAGGTTAAAGTTGTTGGTATCTTTCCTGAAAAAATACAAATGTAAAATACAAATGCCCTGGTTTCTACCATTCAAAAGTTATGGTCAAATTAGAAGTTTGGAATTTTTGTGTAAAAGTGGGTCAAACTCGAAGGTCAAGGTGAAAAGGTCAAATTTGGTGGTACCAAAGGAAAAGTCTTGTCACTAGAGGTTGAAGTTTTTGTGGCGGACGGACAGCCCGACTGACAGACTGATAGACTGACAGATAAATGAGATTTAACGTCACTTTTGCGAGAGCAGGGGACTATAAGAGTCCCTGGTCCTGCAGAAGAAAAGGGAGCGATGATAGCTCGTTACAACGCAGTGGGTCAGGAAACCCAAACTATCCAGTGCACCCGGTCCGGAAAGAATCTCTTTACATATTCTGTGTATATAACAGAGAATCTTAATGGAGATGTCCAAAAGTCGGACTGGAACGGTGTGATGGTAACGGATCGGGAGTTTCGCTTCTGCTACCCAGAAAATACACGTGAAGATTTTTTTCCTTGGGAAATGTGCGAAGAGTCTCTGTTACATATCCTTGTTTGTGATACGACCACTTACACTTTGCTGGATAAAGATGGATATTTTCTTCAGTATTTACGGACCACTGAAGATGGAATAACAGAATTTAGAAGTTTGAGTTACGATTTAAAGAATTGCCATATTTATGGTATGGACTCATTTAATTAAAAAACAATTGGCCCTTTTCACAACAAAATCTTACATTTACGATTCAGTCTTAAATTTTACCATCTGTGTTTTTTAAACAACGATTCCATTGGTTAAGACATTGAAAAAATAAAATAATTCACAAATACATATACTTGTTTTATTGTTTTGAAGGGAAAGATTTTTTCAAACAGGAATATTCCATAAAATTAACATCATTTATAAATCTTACATTTCGAAGTATACAATCAGAGAATGAATGGGCAATTTAAGAAGAAAAGTGTTTTTTTTTTTAACAAATATTTCTTGAAAATGATCTGTAGTTAATCCTTACACAATCTATTCGATCTATTAATTCTGATAAATATATTTATTATCCATGGCACGTAGTTCTTGGTAATTGGAAGACTGATTGGTTGTTTCTAGATCTTGGTACTGTTGATTGGCCTCTTTCACAGTTTGATAGGTTTCTGAATCAAGAATTGCTTTTGACCCGTTATGGGATTTTCTTTTGAGAATAAGTGATCTGAATTAAGAAAGAAAAATGGAAACATTTACAGTTCACGAATAAATTTCTAAAAAAAAATGAATAAGTCAATAATTTTTTGAAAGATGAAAAAAATCATACATTTAGTTAAGCAATTAATATTTCTTACCTTATCTGAGGCAATAACACAACAAAAAGGAAAATAATATTCAGTGCAATTGAAAGAATCAGTCCAATAATCATGCCACCCGTTAAGTCCGTTTGTTGTCCAGTAACATCGGCTATTTAAAAAATGTATACTCTTTTTAATTTAAAAAGATTCATGTATGCAAAATGAAATATTTTATAGCAATTAAATAAATGATGAAAACCTATGTTATAAATTGCTTCATAACTCATGTGCTGTTATAATTTACAATTATTTAAATGTTCTGAATTTTTCATAACTAAAAACGTAAACAAAGCGTTTCTAAAACAGTTTGTTAACTTTTTATTAACATGAAAACTAGTTGGTTTAAATAATTACATAAATTCACTGCTTTTTTTATACCTTTGAGAATGATCAAATGAATGGAAAACTTTGATTTTTTTCTTTGGTCTGTGTATGTTGATAATGCAAAAGTTGACAAAGAATTTAAACAAACGACAGGCAATAAGATTGACAAAGTGTTTACAATAGCACCTCTATATTTTTATGCAACGTACTAGCAATATCACTCCACTAACTCACATTCTAAAGCTTTACACTGACATGTTTCTCCCACATAGTTTTTATGACATCCCCGTGGACAACTCCCATTGACTTTATTACACGTGTCATTAGAAACACAGTGTCTACTGCATTGGTGATCGCAATTCACACCAAAATACCCTGATAGACATTCTGCAAATATAAGTATCAGCATTACAAGCTTTGAAAATAAGATGCAAAAAATGTAATAAAAACCCTACCTTTTACGACTTCAGTTTTTACTTTCCTTTTGAATAAATTAAACTTCTACCTTCGTCACAGTTTGGAATTCCTTTCCATCCTGGTGTACAGTCACAGGATCCGTCTACATGGTGACAAGCACTGATACACTTTTGCGAACAAAATCCAGAGCAGTTTTTACCAAATTGACCAGACGGACATACTTTGATAAAGGGTAATAAATAATGATCATTTGTTGGACTAAAAAATAACAATCAAATGACTTTGAATTTTTAGCAAGAATTTTAACATTAATCTAACACTAATCTTAGACAGAGATTCAGAAGTATAATACACTGAAATACTAAGCTGAAAAAAATAATAATATTCAAAATACATCAAAACGAATTTTCGACGTATATTGGAAGATAACCTGAGTCACACAATAGTCCTGTGTATCCATCTGCACAGCCATTATCACAAAGCCCAGTGATGTGGTTACACTTTACGTTGTTTATACAATGTCCACTACAATACTTTCTACATTCTTTACCAAACGTTTGTGATACACACTCTGCAAAAAAAACTACATAAAGACGCACGTGTAACATTAACCGAGCATTCTTTTTATGTAAAGCAAAGATAAGCGTAGAAAAAGTTAAAAGTAAAGAAGTAGGGGGAATTGAATGCAATATTCGGCGCACTGTATCAAAATTCCCCATCTAGACGGTTTTGTTCTCCACGTAGACTAAACGTGTAGCTAATGAGGTACGTCCTCAAAATACTTACTTTAGAGCAAACAATGTAGATACAAATTGTTGGTTTCTTTTTCTTTATTTGTTATTATTTTGGGTTTTACTGTTTTGTTAGACATGAAAAACACAAAGTAAAAGGTCAATTTAATTTTTTTTTTAAATTCTACCTCCATTGTTTTAGGGTATAATCCTTTTAAAGACAATGCTTGAAAAAAAATAATATAATAAATAAAACTTACATGCTGAAAATAAAATGGATGTACACTGAATTAAATGAAGAATATAATAATTGCTTACCTTGGTCACATTTTTCGTTAGTATAACCCGATCGGCAGCCATTGACACATTTTCCCGAAATTTTGTCACAAGGTTCTTGAAGTAGGCATTGTCCACTACAGTTGAACATACAGTTTTCACTATATGACCCATTTAGGCATTCTTTGAAATTATTTCAGAATACATAGTTGATATGAAACGATACGTAAGTGACATAAGTAAGAAAGCAATCATTAAATTGTGTAAAAGAAAAAATAGTATTCAGGTTTTACCACTTTTCTTTTCATCTTAGTTTCATTGTGAAAAGCTTTTGTGTGTAGAGGAATGTGAATTTAGACTGTTACTTCAATTAGGCATTTAAGACTTACAAGACCTCGTTTTATATACTGACTAATGTTTTCTAAACTCAGGTTCACATGTTACACACAGAATTATCCAAGGGTTGTTCCGATCATAACAAGTTAAGAAGCACGCAACAGTTGTGACTTGTCTGTCAATAAATGTTCTATACAGTGTATCTCTATTTTTTTAACTTTCATACACAAAATTCAGCATACATTTCCAAGAGTTTTGACCAGACATAAGATGATGAAAATGTTAGTATTTCTTATACAAAAAATTTTATAGATAAAGTTTTAGCTAATATTTCCAAAACAATCATTCATAAATATGAGTGTATAAAAGTGTGTAGCTTAATCAAACAATATAAAATTGCAAAAACATCCTTCAATAATTGAAAATGTAGATTAAACAGGAAAAAGGAAGTTTAAGTGCATGACTACGTTGCGTGTGTCCTTAATATCATATCTTTTTCTCACCCTTATCACATAAAGTTCCTGTCCAACCAGAAGCACATCCACCAATGCAATGACCTGTTACACGATCACAGTTGGCATTACCCCCACAATGTCCAGCACATGCCTGCTTACATTCGAGTCCATACTTCCCAAACGGACACACTAGTTAAACATGCATCAAAAAAGATTTTAGTATCTCGAAATCCATCTTTCGGTGCAATGAATACACTGAGAATTCTAAATTTGTACCATTTTCACAAAGATCCCCACCCCATCCAGGTTTACACCCAAGACATGTTCCGTACAAGATATGGCATCTATTTTCTTGACAATTTTCTGGGCATTCAATACTGCAATTTGGACCATACATTCCACTCTCATTACAGCCTTAAAAATGTATAGACAAAGACCATCAATTTTGTCTCGTGCTTTCCATGAGAAAAAAAAAATATTTTTAGAATAATATTATCAATTCATAATTACCTTGTACGTCTACATCACATAACTCTGTAATAGAAGAGAGTTGGAATCCTTCCGGATAGCCATCTGCGTATCCCTCTAGATATTGTCCTTCAGGAAGTCTCTCGTTATAGTAGATGACGTATCGCGCATGACCTATACATGTTGTATTAAAGTCCAGGGGCGGTAACTCTGGACCGTCAATGTAACAACGGTAGCCATCCTCTTTATCTGTGGTGTTTGAGAGATAAAGAGAAAATCCCGCAAAGCGACCTCTTTGTCGGATCTCTACAATATATCTTTCAATCATTATGCACTAAATAATGTATTTCTGTCCTCCAGTCAAGTTAGAACCTAAATAAAATGATTTGCATGAGACCGTATCAACAAAGGTTAATTGTCACAGGAAATGAGGGTACAAAAAAGGATCCTTCACTTCTCAACGGCCCTGAGTGCGGAATATAAGTCTAAATTTGCAGCTCGAAAGAAACAAGTGATGACGTCTAAAATCAGTGGAAAACCACCAGAGGAACGCTCAACAAAGATAAAAAAAAATACCTCCTAGTCTCTGAAGAAAGTTGTGCAAACATGAGTTTACCAATTAACGTTATTTACATCTCAGATAATTTGTTTCAGTGCATTATCTCATCATATAAAAGCAAGAGGCCAAAGGACCACATCGCCCAACTAGGTAACAGTGGCGCCTCCTGGTTATCATGGATACTCCTTTTCGTATATGTTCTCATGTGACAAAAATTATCACTCGTTATAGCCCCAGCTTATTGACAGAGGTAAGGGATTTTTCTATGTATTCTATGAAAACCTTGATCCTCATTTTAGCAATGCCCTGCCCTGCAACCCCACCCCCAGGTTTCACTTTTTGAATAAACTTGAATCTTGACAACCTGAGAATGTTCACATATTCTATAAATAAAATTAATCGTGGCATACATTTACTTTTTCTTGAGATGCCGATTTTAAAAGTTTTTTTCATATTCTTACCTAAAGCTATGTAAAGCTATGATTGCCCATAGTGACCATACCATGACTCCGGGGTTGATTTGAATCAAATTAAATCTATATAAATGAGGGTCCTTTTATCCTTATCTGACTATTTTTGTTTTTTTAGGTACATATATGAATCAAAACAATTTCAAACTTTCTTATCAATAAGGCGGATCACGGCTCTGCTATTCTTGAGAAGAAAACAAATTCAAAGATTTTAGAATATCCGTGTAAAATTTTGATCGGGCGGGGTCATGTCTTGAAAAAATTAACATACACTACAAAATGGTATGGAATCGCAGAGTTTCCGATGTGCTGTTGTGTTTAGCATGGAATTTTAAATGCAAATTTTTTATTCGCTGAATTGCAAACGTACATTACATGCAAATGAGAAAGGTATTTCCTTCATGGACTGTAGAGTTGTTGGAGATTTAGGGATGCAAGATAAGTCTTCCACTAGCGCGACTGAAGTAATTGGAATTTGGAATATGGTTAAAATGAGGAAAAGGGCAATGAAACCTTCAGAGCTCAGTATTTTATACTATCCAATGGTTGTTAATTCTCAGTAAACATGACTTTTCCATTAACCAAAGAAGTGACTAGGAAGACAGAAGCCATTACTACATAGAATGTGCACGACATGTGTAACCTACACAAGAACAGTCCTTATTCTCGCGCGATCAGCGAATTTCTTTTCTATTTAATAATCAACGTATCAGGGTGAAATTTTCAAAACCTCTATTTAAACATTTGTTTTTCAACTTGCACTAAAACTAAATTTCAAAAAATCCAACATTATATAATTACATAGTAGAGATCAAATGACAAATTTTGCCTCTTGTAAGATTTTTAAATTGGTCGAGGCTGTAAATGCAGTTCCAACATGATTAAAATGCAGTTTTAACCCTCTTTTACTACAATAAATGCCTTACCATGTCCGCTATATGATTTAAATTTTATCCTAATGTAGGAAATGCTTTTCACTTCACCAAAGTCCACGTACCACCAAGTATATGAACCAGCATATGCCATTATTGTATCTGTTCTCGTGCAAGTATTAGTGTTTTCATCAATGGCGTTATGGGAGGCATATTGTTGACAAGATGATGGTACACATGTCCAATGCCTATGTTGATTTGTATATTTTCTCCTCGATAAATTGTCTGTAAAATACACGATAAATAATTAGTTCTTTTTTACAATATTAGAATGTCTCATTTTAATACATGTAGTAATGCAAGACATGAGTGTTTATAATTTTTGTCCATCTTAAGATTTAATTAATACATGTATGTGTAAGAGTACTTCTGATTCAGTTACGCAGCACAGTGAAGGTTACACTAAGGAGTGAGGGCCTAATTCATACGGGAAATGTTTGTGACGTCACACAAAATATATGGTCTGCAAAATACCAAAAAATAAAATTATTTGCTAATTCAAACTCTCGGAATAGGTGCAGACTACATAAAAACTTACTATTACATGCAGTTTTGACGTTTGTTAAATCCCATACAACAATATATAAATGATGGATCGATCGCAATGCACTTGTCAATGTGACGTCATCTCCCAAAAATGACAGTTTGTACACAGAGAAAGGCTGATCATGTCACATTTTGTACATTGAATAATGTCTTCTGTTCTCAAATAAAATATATTTGTAGTTAAATAAAAGGCCGTTAACTTGGATGCGATGTTTATTTTACTATTTTATTTATAAACTGCCCGAATATTCTCCAGACAAGTGATACTGCCGTGTGTTTGTATGCAGATTCATTGAAAAAATAATAGAAGAGCCCTAATAAATCGATTTATTGTAAGGGCATACCCTCTATGTATCTTGCCACGTTTTTACACATAAACTCAAGAAGTATTAAGATTTTTGAAAAGTGCTACAAATCTCATGAAATCTTGCAAATAAATTAATTATATCTATATTTAATGTAGTTGACCAGCAAAATATTCAACCTGCCGTGAAACAAATTAAATTTTAGCAATGAAATAAGGGAACTTATATAGGTTCATAGCACTTTTTTTATTAAAAAAAAAACAAAACTACAGATAGTGTTGAAAAGGATAAAAAATTAAACTAAGATTTTTAACTTGGTTATGCTCTTGCAATATTGGAATTTATAAATGACCTTTAAACTGCAAGTATAATTGCTAAAATCATGTGACTTTTTCAATACGTGACAAGCCTTAAGTCTCAATAAAAAATCTAAATGTCCTCAACATGTAGATTGGAACCACATTACATTTTTCTGATATCAGTGAAGTCCTAAATGAATCTCCCATCCTTATAAAGTAATGCATTTTTTATCTGAAAGAAATCACCGATGTTTCCATTTGTAACCTTAATTGTGCTGCGTATTCCAATTATTACTAAAGCATGAGAAATTCTGGAAAAAAATTGATGATGTTTCCAAAACAGATGAGTGCATTTATACATGGAGAAATATTAAATTCGATATGCACAATCAATATTTCAATAGACGATGCTTCTTGAATATATGGGAAACGCTTGAATATACGTGAAGCATTGAGGAAGCAAGTAGTGATTGCGTCCCCTTATAAGAAGACCTAAAGACCTACTCTTGTATCATATGAAGCAGAATTTGTCCACAAAATCTTATATGTGCAAGATAGTTCACTTGCTGTGGCCTTCAACTTGACATAGGATATATCCCGATGAACTTTAAATAAAAGATACCACAGAGTCAGACACATCTGTTTTATATCTAGATATTTTACTTGGGAAAGACGTTATTGGTTTTCTAACAACCAAGCTTCAAGACAAACAAGATGAATTTAACTTTTCAAACGTGAGCTTCTTTCACATTTGCAGCAATATACCTTCACCGCCTGCACACGGGAGTTTATTTCTTTCAGTTGATTACGTTTACGACTTAAACTTATGATAACCCTGAAACAACAGTTTTTGAGTGGTTGTAAGATAGACACATTGTCGTACGTAGACACATTGTTGTACGAATGGTGATCCGATGGGGCCACTCGCACCTTCGCACTCTTGCCTTTTGGGAGGTAATGCGATAGTGCGAAGTGCGAAGGCGAAGGAGAGAAAGAGTGATGATAAGACGGCGAAGCACGAAGATGCAAAGGTGTAAAGGCGAAAGAGCGATACTTATATCGATCTTTCGCCTTTGTAACTCCGTGCTTTTGCCTTCGCATTTACTTCTGTGGAGCTAATTATCGGCATAAGTTAATTTAAGCGGGTTCTTTTAGTGGATGTTATTTTAGCGGCGTAATGGATTGTAAGCAATGTTTAATTGTACAGTCACGTTTTTAATAAAGAATTTACACTCGCAATTTCATAAAAACGAGAAAAAGTGCAATTGATCACTGGACATTCTAATTTTATATACAAATGTAGATTAAATAATAGGATAATAGTAAGTGATTGTTGTAGCTTGTGCAAGGTCATTTTTCTGAAAAAATGCACACCTTAATTAAATACCGTACTTTAAATACAATAACTTTCGAATTTCATAATGCCAAAATCCTTTCTTGAAATATATTCGTAACAGACTAAACAGTTCATCTTCTTCTGCAGATACCCAAAAACTTATTATCAAACGAAAGAGAACCTAACAAAATAAGGCAAAGGCGAAAGTGCGAAATTTTTGAAAAACTCCTATATAAACAAATACATAGGCACAGACATTTTGGAGACCCAAAGTTATGCGGAGAAGAAAATGCTACGTGGCACGTGATTTTTGATTAAGAGAAAAGACTTGTTATGTATTTGCAAGTGAAATAAAGGTGATAAAAATCTCATATCAAGACCTAATCTTCTTTGAGATATATAGAACTTACAGGTAAAAATTTGAAAGTATGGATGCACTTTGGTTCGAGATTTTCATTTGGTGCTGAACGCACCTAGTTGTAAACAAGTGAAATTTGAAAGTAAAAGTGCAACGGCATGGTACATTTTATCTGGCATATTTTGTTTTGCAAGATCTCGACCTTTCACGGCCAGAAAGTCATTTGCCCATAATTCAAAATAATAATGTATCAGTGACAGGGGCTTAACTTTGTATGGAAGTCTATTGGAAAACATTTGGCGGTGTTTGTCCTATTGATGGCGAAAATGCGAGGTTGCAAAGATGAAGAAGCCCCGTGCTCGCTACTTCACACTTTTGCTCCTTCCTCCGAGCTTTCGCCTTCGCAACTTCGCACTCTCGCACCTTTGCCCTAAAAGCGATTTGCAAAGAAGCGAATGGCCTCAACGGAACGTGAAAATAGTCTTTGTCAGCAAATACAACTTATATACATTTTATGCTAACTGACATTTTCATACTAATTGTTAGTCCTTACTTATACACTGAATTGACAACGGATTTTTCCGTTGTGTCAAGGAGCACACGACGGATGTGACCGGTTGACAGGTGATGCTCACTCCTACACGGCACCTGATCCCAATTCCAATATTTTGGAGGTCCTTGTTTGCTATGCTCCTATTTTGTATATTGTTTTATAGACCTTGATCTTGGATACTGTTCGTTATCACCATATGGTTAGACTTCAGTATAATTTTTATGCTCTCGGATCGATAGATCCGAGGCGTATATTGTTTTTGTCCTGTCTGTTTGTCTGTTTATCTGTTTGTCTGTCTGTCTGTTGAAAACTTTGACCTTCGCCATAACTTTTGAACCTTGAGATATAGAGACTTCGTATTTGGTATGCATACTCCACTAATGAAATTCTTTTAAAAGACACCAAGGTCAACGACCTTGTGACATTGACTGTGACCTTCATGCTAAAAATAGCTTTTTCGAACTTTTGCCATAACTTCTGAACCATAAGAGATAGGGACTTCATATTTGGTATGCATACTTCACTAATTGAGCTCATACAAATGACACCAAAGTAATTGACCTTGTGACCTTGACTGTGACCTTAATGCTAAAAATAACTATTTTCGAACCTTTGCCATAACTTTTGAACCATAGGTGGTAAAAACTTCATATTTGGTATGCATACTCCACTCAAGTTCTTTCAAATAACATTAAGATCAATGACCTTATGACCTTGAATGTGACCTTTATTTTAAAAATATTTTTGTTACTTTGTTGCCGCAGGGCGCAAAGTGTTTCACAAACACATCTTATCTTCCTTGGCTTTAAATAACGCATGAAAAGCGAAAGAAGCGGACGATTGCTCAACATTAGACAGTACCAGGAAAACGAATTGGAGTGGCTCCGGATTTTACTGCATGACTGGAGCATGTGAGGCCAAGGTTTCAAGATTTTCAAATTTTGTGTAGAAAACATTCTATAAATAGCCTAGTAGTTTAAGATAGTAAAGAAATTAACATGCAAATGTATTATAAAATGAATATGAATATATAAATATAAAATGAAATGTCCGAATCATAATTCTCATATTTCTAACATTAAGTTAGAATTGAATTGTAGACAACAGGATTAAGGTGGGTAAATGTAGTGTATGAGTAAACAACATCGATGTCTAGGTCATACATATCAGCTACATGTAATAAGTAGGCATTTGTAAGATTTAGGGACACCTCGAGAATCAAGATATCGCCATGTTAGTTTATTTGAAGCAATTTTTATGCGCCAGGATCGATAGATCCGGGGCGTGTATTGCTTTTGTCCTGTCTGTCTGTTTGTCTGTTTGTTTGTTTGTTTGCAAACTTTAACCTTCGCCATAACTTTTGAACCATGAAAGATAGAGACTTCATATTTAGTAGGCATACTTCACAAATAAAACTCTTTCAAATGACACCAAGGACAATGACCTTGTGACCTTGACTGCGACCTATATGCTAAAAATATTTTTTTTTCTGCGAACTTTAACCTTCACCGTAACTTTTGAACCATGAAAGATAGAGACTTCATATTTTGTATGCATACTCTACTAATTACACTCTTTCAAATGATACCAAGGTCAATGACCTTGTGACCTTGACTGTGACTTTTATGCTAAACTATAGCTTTTTTGATCTTTCACCATAACTTTTGAACCATTGGAGATAAAGACTTTATAATTGGTATGCATACTCCACTAATTAAGTTCTTTCAAATGACAATGTCAATGACCTTGTGACATTTACTGTGACTTTTATGCTAAAAATAGCTTTTTTGAACCTAAACCATAACTTTTGAACCATTAGAAATTGAAAATGCATATTTGGTATGCATTCTCCACTAATCAAGTTCTTTCAATTATACCAAGGTCAATGATATGCTAAAAATAGCTTTTTTCTGAACTTTGATACCGCCGGGCGCATAGTGTTTCACAAACACATCTTGTTATTTATGGGAATTTAATACACTTAATACACTTTAAACTTCGCTCCCCTCCCAAATTACAGTTTTTAACTTCCATGAGTACTTTCAGTACTTTGGTTTATTATTTTCAGATTTAAATTTTTATTTTAAAGAAATGATATACATGTATTATGAACCAAAAGCAAGATTCAAGTAAGCTTTGGCTTATTAACTTTACAGAATCTTTAATTTAAATACAATGAAGATGAGCATCCCTCACATTTTGGATTATTTTAAGGAAGCATACAAAGTTTAATCAAATAGAAAAAGCAATGTGCACCAGATATACAAACCGTATGCTGAACAATAAAGAATTCCAACAATCAGAATCAAACATATCGAAAGCATATCCGCTAAACAAATCTTAATCGTTATATTTCAAATTTGGCCTTAGCTTCTGTATATTTTGTAGATGCGGAAGTTTTAAATCCATTTAAACTAAGTTCATTTATAACCGTCTATTTATCTTGAAAAACTTCCTGCTCTCTTTTTAGTTTGAAATTTGCCGATGGAAGAACCCGTGTCTGTGGGAGACGTGGAAAGCATTTTGCTGGTTGTTGTGTGACGGAAGTAGACATTTTTGGGGGTGGTAGTGTAATGGTTTGGGGAGGAATTTTTTGGAGGAAACCGCACAAGACTTGTTATAGTGAACGGTAACCTGACAGCTCAAAGATACAGAGATGAATTTCTCTTTCCATTTGTACTGCCATGTCTACCCACCAATGGTCCTGGTTTAACATTCCAGCAGGAGAACGCAACAGCACACACGACTCGAAGAACAAGGAGTCTTTAAACTCAAAAAATAATTTACGAGTATCAACTTTGCCATTACATTGCTATATATGACTATTAATCTAGTTGAATAAAAAAAAAATAAATTCATTTTATGATTTTTTTTACTTTTCCCCGTAATCTACCGCGGTCATTCCGGAAAATGCCGAGTTCTCGTGCTCAGTTGTACATCAGATACCTTAAGGTACATCTAAAGTGTTACAAACTGTCATCACTAAGTTATGTGAATTTTTTGCTTCAACATGATTTATTCAGTTGTACAATTCCCTGTAAGTTGATATGCTTACATCATTTTCGTTTCTGTATAGATGTACAATCATACAGTTATAGAGATATGATATTACATATATATGTATAAATATATTCTTTTCTGCTTCATGATTTATTCAGTTGTACCAATATAAATTGATATACATGTACTGTGGAATGCTTGTATCATTTTTATGCCTGTACAGATGTATTATCATACAGACAAATATTAAGAGGCAGTCCGCCGAAAAACCAGGCAGGTTTGTATTAATAGGCGGCACATCGAATGTGACGAATATTTGAAATTTTATTGAAAATAATATCAATGTAGTCCAAATGGAATAATGTAATCGAAGATTTGTTTTGAAATTGCTTATTTAGTAAAATATCCTTTTGTTTCGTGTTCTTGAATTCCCCTATATAAACCATTGAATTTAGGTCAGAAACAACGAACTGTAATTTCCAATACTTATTTAACAGGAATATAATTCATGCTGAACTAAATCTAGAAATATTTCGTATTTCAGTTTCAAAAATAAAATTGGTGGGCAAAACACTTTTGATAGTAGTTTTCTGTCAAAATATAGAGACGTTTTTTTATGAAATTTTGCGATGTAAGAGTTATCTCCCGTGGCATCGGTAAATCTGCTAAACACCTTACTATCGAAATCCTAGTGAAATATTTAGAATATATACACAAAATAAAATTATTTAACCAAAAATTACTACTTTATTTTCAAAATAAAATTCATTTTCGCCTCCAAACGTAATATTTAGATTAAGATTGGCAGTATTATTCAGGTTGAATCCACGTTTCCATTGATGTATCAGTGACGTCATATACCTGACTAATATTGCGTCACAATTAAATAGTAACAAGTTTTCCAAAGAAGTTTGTAAATTCTTTGCATAAAAGCGCAAATAAAACGATTAAAAATAAATAATTTCTCTTTTTCTGTTCAATTACTTTTCAGAGTGCATTATCCTACATGTTTTTAAACTGGACGTCGCCCGTGAAAAAAATACATTTTATATAAAAATATATGATTTTATATAAAATGTATTTTTTCACGGGCGACGTCGCAGCTAAAAGTAATTTTGTACATGTCCGATTACTAATTTTTTAAACTGATTTACTAGGCTATGCGTACAAATAATTAATTGTTTATATTGAATATTTCTTATAAAATTGGGATGTGAAGAGATTTTATTTTCTTCTGATTATCAAGGAAAGATGAATATTTTAGATTTACGCAACATTTAATTCAAGTCAACGGAGTTGAGATGTTTATTTCATGATATTTGTACACACACACACACACACACACAAACACTTGATTATATTTATCTATGCAGTCAAACCACAGTAAACGATCCGCGGTACGATTAAAAATATTTTATTAAAAAAGTGAAAAATAAGATTTAAAAAATATTTATTGAGGAAAATTACTGTTGAACTCCCCACTTCAATTTGCCACTAAAACGGAAGATTTCGTGGGCGTATTTTTTGTTTTGTATTGTTTTTGTTTGGTCTTTTTTTTTTGTTTTTTTTGGTTAAATTTGGTGATTGAAACAATCACATACTCACATTCAATATGAAGTTAAAAAACGTGACCATGTTGGCCAATTCTAAAATGTTTTCCCATTAATGAAAGTTTTTTTTAATATGCCGCCTTGCCCCCCCCCCTCCCCGTCCCGGCTTTTTGCTTGCGATTTCTAGGCTCTTACATAATAATACTATATATGAAATAACTTATTTTCTTATTAATATAAAATTAAATTTTGTAGGATGAAAATATAGGGGAAACGGCTTTTATAGATGACAGGTTTAAAAAATTTGGATCAAGTCGAGACTGTGCACATTTAAATATTTTCTGCATTTAGGTAGTGCAAGAATATTTTCGCCAATGATAGAAATTCACGAGATAATTAAAAAATACTTTAGTTGGAAATAAGATATTTAATAAAGATAAGCTGTCTACTCTCAGTTGTTGCATAATGCATGTACAAATACTTGTTTTTTAATACCGAGTATCAAGAAATCGTACAGATGTTATACATGATAAAAGTCATGATTGTAATCTTCATGTACGTAAAAGACATTAGTATTTTAAATAAATTGTATAAACATTTGAATCCATGGATAAAATAATTTTAAAACAGTTGACTAACTGAACAGAAATAAAAGACAAGCATATTTTTTTCTGATACATTAAATGCAGAATATTTCTAGTTTTACGGTAAAAACCGATCCCGATTGAAAATAATGCAAAATGTGTAAAGTTATAACACTAAAAACAACTGCCACCCATAAGACATGTATCAAAATACATCAAGTAATTTTTTGGCCATATTACAACAAAAGAGCCAAATTTAACATTACAATTATAGTATTTCCTTCTTTATATAATTCCGGTCGGGATCGGTTTAATTGTGAAAAATTGTAAAACATAGGTAAATTTGACTCCTTTTATTTCTCTCAATATAAGGATGCCCACTGATTTTATTGAGTGACTCAAAAGTTTGTACTTTGTATTCATAATAACATGAGAAAAAAAATCTGTCATTGAAATGTATTGGGTTTTATAACGTACTGAAAATTGGATAATGAATTCAAAAAGTTACTTGCTAAACTCAATTTTGGACCACATATTTTTTTCTAAAGAAATATAAACTGGAGTCTTATTCATTACTAAAATTAAAGATAAGAGTCTATGGTATAAATAATATTGATAGACACATCCAGGTTTTGCGTATCTGGTACATATAAAACAAAATAAAAACGTAGTAATTTTTTTTACCCCCATTTTGACCTTTTTGCACTTAAAATTGAGCAATTACCAAAAATAGGACTAGTGGAGCACTAAAATTTTTTTTGATGTTGTCATGTGTAAACACTTGCTTAAATAAGTCTATATGCAAAAAATAATAAAAATCCATGACATGCGATGTGCCACCCATTGCCTGATTTTCAGTGGACTTCCTCATAATTAAAAATATACATGTATGTATATTTAGTTGTACCAAAATACTTTGAGGAATGTTTGCTAGTTTGATTTAAGCATCTTTAATTCTACTAGTGAAAATTCATGTTTTATATATATCGTTTATTGACGAACTCATACATATAATGAAAAAAGCACCTTCAGCATTATGAATATAAATGAAATGCATCAAATTTTATGACTTACTAAGAAAAATAAATTTACCATTGATGGAGTTAAATATTTTCATTAATAATTTAATTGCATATATTTACAATTTTCAAAACAGTATTGTTTCATGGTGAAATAATTCATAAATATATAATTGATTATTGTGTGTGTACACATTTTTTACACCATGTTCACATTTTTTGGCTTAATTTGAAAAAAAAACTCTTGTGTATAAATTCACATTGAACATCTTATTATTACTATTAGACAAATGGAATATTCCCCTAGTCATTTTCTTTCCTTTTATAAATGGAAATGTAAATCAAAGGTTTTGTGAGACGATGCTGGTCCTTATTTGTACAGTTTCAGTACAATTTTGTTGCATTGGTACATGTATGGTGTAAACTTACTGAAGACAGTAAAACTGAGTTTGTAAAAGGAGGCCAAATATTGCATATTGTAGCTGGATCCTTATTTTTGAGGGCGTTGATGATCGATGACTTATTGGTTTATTAAGATTACTCAATAAACGAGTAAACCATGGATATAAATCCCATGAACAAGTGATATTTTGATTGCCCGTGAACAATTTTGGGGGTCAGCCCTTTTTTCGAGACATCATTTGAAAGATCTCAGAATTCTTCACAATTTTTATTCTCTGTGTTTTAACAAAATATTTACTAGTAAAACGATATAATAGGAAAAGTGTTAGAAATTTTGAAACGCTCAATATGACTTCTTTCAGACCATACCGAGCGGTAACGTGCAGTATTCCGGTGAAAGTTAACAACACAATGCAAATCTACATTTGTTGCTCTATCTTCCTGAAAAGATTTCATCTTCCTGTGATGAGCGGTTCAGATCGATATCTATGAGATCTGAAAGTTTCGTGAAAATCGACCGAGACGTTTCCGAGAACTCGCGTGCACAAAAATCGGTAAGAAAAAAAAATAATAATAGGGAAAAAGAAACCGAACGAAAAAATAAGGTCTTCCATTGGAAACGGTAGACCTTAAAAACAGTGGAAAAAAAACCAACGAATAACAAGGTCTTCCGCTGAAGACGGAAGACCTTAATAAAAGTGAAAAAGAAACAGTAGAATAATAGAAGGGTCTTCCGCTGGAGACGGAAGACCCTAATTATCGCGTTAAAATATTCGGCATTTAACAGCATACAACAAAATCAATAAACAGATACATACACACACACACACACACAAAAAGGAAAAAAGCAGCCACAATTTTGGTGCGGTTTCTGACACTCCTCACATTGTAT